ATCAAACATATACAATTGTAATCTATTATATTTATGAAAATAGAAAAAATTTTAAAAAATTTTATATTTTATTTAAAAAAAATAATTTCATATTTAATAATAAATAATAATTTATTATCAAATTCAATATTTTTAGTCAATAATAAACTTTAAAAAAATGGGGGGAAATGTCCACATCAAAAATATATCGGGGGGGAATTGTCCATTTACCATAGAACTGTTGTTTGATGACTAATCAGTAATCCCATATACTTCTGAAAAAAAAACCCTTGGTATTTCCTTGTTTTCAAACTCTAAGTTATTATCAGTTCATAATACTTTGACCTGTATCATTTTTTATGTTATGTATTAATGTTTCGATTAAATTCTTCATTTCACTTTTATGATTTTTTAAAAATATACAGGGTGATTCTATAGTACGAATAATTGTCTTTAAATAATAAAAAATATTTTGATACTAAAATAAATTCTCTTTTTACATTAGTCCACACAAACAATCGTGTATTATTTCGCCTACAACTGTTGTGTTCGTTGTATTATCCATTAAATATATGTCTGTGCTATTTACCGATTAAATATATTATAGTAGCATATTACATTATATTTTTATAATGTTTCCTTGATAACAATATTCACTTGTGGTTCTTCTATATTGAGTGTGATGACTTTGAACTTTAATTCAAATAGTTTTCCCTGTTTCTCACTAATTGTACATGTACAGACTATCTGTCCGTTATTTGAAAACCCACATTAATTTTTATCTGACGATAGTGTTAAACCTTTAACTAACGCTGTACAACACGAAAATAAATTATATTTTAATTGCGGCACATAATATAATATAGTACCATCTACGTCTAACAAATAATTATTATTCCATTTATTGTTTGCAAATTATTATATTTTTATATCACCCGTTCCTTCTGTTAACAAAATTGAACCGACATCTATTCTTACTTGAATTGGTTTGACAAATAATATAATTAATATTTGGACTTTAAACAAAACCTGCTGCAGCCCACTTCATACAAAATAGTAATATAATATTAAATATATATAACAAAAAGAAAAAGATAATTCAAATTAAGATTTAAATATAAAAAGGTGGGTAAGTGGATGTCGCTCTGCTGTACTGTAGGTTACAAGTGGGTCACTGTAAAATGGATGGTATAAAATTTGAATGCAATGATATAATATCATTGTATAAGAAAAACGATTCTGAGCGGAGACGGTATGTCAGTCTAGGTATAAGACATATTATATACTTTTCTATGGTATTAAATTAAGTATATGGAATTTATGAATAAATTCCTTAAAATATGCACAGTCTCAGGGGCGGAGTGGCCGGTCTGGAAATGGGAATTTTCCAGATGGCCTGGACCATACTATGCGGAAGCATGATACTATAGGTACTATTTAATCATATGCATATTTGCAATCTTTAGCTATAAAAACTGAACATTTAATAATTTATTGATTACAATGATTGAAAATTTTCGAGATTTTGATACATTTTGTCAAAATTCGATGTTTAAATGCTTATAAAAAAAATTGTGCCTATGTATTTTTAATATTTGTCAACTGCTACTGTAACAATATATCAGGATCCTTGTATTACATTTTTACACTTTTTGGCCCAACAGATAAAACTTTATTGATATTTATAGAAAAAAAAAACTAAAAAAATTGAAAACTGAAAATGTCCGTAAACAACTCAAAAAAAGTCAAAATATTTTAAAAATTGTACAGTGTATAGAAAATGCTAATCTGAACATTCGGTGAAATTTTCATGTATCTATATTTATTCGTTTTTGAATTACAACAAAATAAGAAAATCGCTACATGAGAAATCAAGTGAATATCCAATTTTGTAAAAATTTGAATTTCAAACGCTCATAAAAATTTATAAAACCATATAAAATTTTAAATGCTTATAAAAAAAAACTGTGACTAACGATTTTTAATATTTTTCATCTGCCTTTGAAACATTATACTAGGTGCCTTCTATTAAATTTTCAAGATTTTTTAACCAACAAATAAAATTTTATTGATATTTCTAGAAAAAAACTAAAAAAAACTGAAAAATGAAAATGTCCCTAAACAGTTCAAAATAAATCAAAATATTTTGAAAATGATATCGTGTATAGAAAATACAAATATAAACAACCAGTGAAAATTTCATGTATATACGTTCATTTGTTTTAAAGTTACACTAAAAACCAAAATCTTTTTTGGAAAACGATTTTGAGTAAAAATCTCGTTTTTCCTTAATTTTTATATTGTTTTTCCCGGCGCTTGTGAAAATTACTAGGAACTTTTGACCCCCTAAAGTACCAACTAGATTCACTTTCCTATCAGAAAAGCTACTGTTGAAGAAAATCCAAGCACTTTTACTGTCCTAAAACGTGATGACAGACACAAAAAAAATTAAAAAAAGTTTGTGATGTGTACTAGAAGATGAGTGCGGACTATAGCAATGTCTAATACGTCAGGTCTGTATTTTTTAGAGCTAGGAAAGTGTGTAGGGGTGTCAGGAGCGATGATTGAGTAGTCATTTTGCAGAAGGTGGTTATAGAGTATTAGCCCAGCAGTATTTGTCCTGCGGCTGTTCCAGAGTGGGTGTTTTGAGTTTAGGTCACCAGCAATAATAATATTATCTGCACCACTGATGAGAAGGTCGAGGTCAGATGTAATGAAGGTTGACGATGGAGGCTTGTAGACTGAAGAGATGAGGGTGGTTTTCTTGAGTTTCATGAGCGTGTGAAATTCATATTTTTATATTTTTTTGATCTTAAGCCCGGCATCTAAGGCCATTAGCTGTATCGTTTTGGCGGTTTTTATGTCGGTAGGTGGGGGAACACGTGTGTGATGGCCGATGGGTTTGGCAGAATTTTTAATTGTGCACCCATAGGTATCTGCTATACCTGGGTGGGGGATGGATTCACGTCTTGTCTCCGAACACCGTGACTTCCCCGAAGAGAAATGCCACCCATGACCGAGGAATCGAGCCAGCGTCGTCTGCGTCGCAGCCGACGCCTTAGACCTCTAGGCCACTCCGTCCCGCTTACAATATTTTATATTCACTCGATTTCTTATGTAACGATTTTCTTATCTTGTTGTAATTAAAAAACGATTGACTGTAGATACTTGAAAATTTCACTGAATGTTTATATTATTTCACTGAATGTTTATATTTTAGCATTTTTTTATGTTTATATTAATTTGACTCTTTGAGCTGTTTACGGACATTATAAGTTTTCAATTTCTTTAGTTTTTTTTTTCAATATATATCAATAAAATTTTATTTGTTCATTGTTGGGTAAAAAAGCGTGAAAATTTAATGAGACGCTCCAGCAGATATTTTGCTAAAATAGCAGTTGAAAAATATTAAAAATACCTACCTACATCGGCAAAAGTTTTTTTTATATGCATTTAAATTTCAAACTTTGACAAAATTTATCAAATTTAAAATGTAATAATTGTTTTGTAGTTAAAAATTTATAAAATCTTTAACTTTTATAGCTAAGGATTGAACATTTAAAACAAGATTCCACGTAAATAAATCCACGTATATAAAATACTTTATTCACAATAATATCATCAAATATACTTGGTAATATCATAGGCTGACTGACAGTTTTCGCTCAGAATCGTTTTTCTTGTATGATGATACTATATCATTGAATTCAAATTTAACACCATCCATTACAGTGAGACACTTCTCACCTATTGGCTGCTGTCAGCAGCACGACCTCCCCTTACCCGTTTTTTTTTTTTTAATCGCATATTCATAATGGTACCTACAGTGGCGGCGCCAGAACTTTAATACCAGGTGGGCCAGGCTGGGGCCCAAATTTTTTAGGGAGGGCCAAATTGTTGACTTGATATATATATATAAACAATAGTGATGACAGGCAATTTCGCAGAGGGGTGAGGGGGAGGGTCAACTTACAATTTTTTTTACACTTCATTGTGTAAACTTACTAAAACAATGATTTGTAAACATGTATTGTATTAATAGTATTTATTTGCTAACAAAATATATATTCATGTAAACACTTTTTGATTTTTATGCTCCCTAATAATTACACTCAATACCAATGAATATTTAATAATAATTTATTATTTTCGTATTCAGCCGCTGGAAAATACACGTTATTTATGATACTTGAAAGCATATTATAGACTATAGTGCATATAGTTTTCAACCCATTCAAAATGTTGTTCCCGCCATCTATTATAACTTAATATTTTCATATTTTAATAAATCATGATTTATTCATGAGATATTTTTTAGTATTCTAATATGATTAAATTAAATTTTTGGGGTGGGCCACAGGGGGGGCCGGAGACTTTTTAAGGTGGGCCCGGGCCCACCCTGGCGCCGCCACTGGGTACCTACCTACTATAATATTAGTTAGTATACTATTAGTTAAATCCCAAGTCACAAGTCATGGAAATCAGAAAAATAGTTACCAGCAGGGCCGGATTTAGGGCCTACTGGGCCCCAGGCCTCCACAAATTGAGGGACTCCACTAAATGTGTTTTTTTGCATCCAAGTATAAAACACAGTATAACATTTTCAAAATGGATTTAAATCACAATTTGAATAAAAATGTTCAATCATTGATATTGTCATAAATTTATAAATAAATGTTATTATTAGTATTTAATTACACAATTACCCGCTTTTTTTAACTTGTTATTTTTCTTGTTTTTTTTTTAATCAAACTATCAAATAAAGTATATTATAAAATGTTTTACGAAACATTAAAAATAAGCAATAATGTAAATGAAGTATCAACAAACAAATTTCTAAAAATGTTCTTATAAAATTATAGACAAAAATAATTTATGTATTTTAATAATACAATATTATTTGACAGTTTATTATTTCAAAGTATATAGTTTAATTGTTTTTACATAACAAACTTGTATTCAATTAGTAATAACTATTGGAAACATCAAAATGATTATACAATTGGATATAAATAACCATTTTATATAATATTATACTTTTGTACAGCTTCCATGAACCATGAAATATGAAAAGCTTTTAAATGTTTCATATTGTACTTTATAAGCCTATTTGAATCCATTGTATATAATATAATGTTAGATACATGAAACATTTCATCATTATCACGGCAATGATATGGTATTATATTAGTAGGGCAGTCTTCTGGATTTGGCATACGTATTAACAGTTTAGCTCCGAATTCAACAACCAGTTTTTTTAAATTTTCAAGTGTGAACTGATTCCAACCATTGCTTCCGCATACATGTATGTTTATACCATCAAACAATTTTGGATACTGTATAACAAAAATAACAGGTGATACATATTTTTTAAATACACAACAATTCTCAAGTTTAAAACAGATATAATTTTACATAAACCAGTTAACTTTCAAGCGACATTGAGAAATAATCACCATGCATCAGCATCACTAACGCTACTAGTTGGTAAGAGAAAATTTTAGATTTTTGTTTTTCAATTATTGTTAATACATAATTTTTTACTGTCAAAATACTTGAATATGTAATAAAAGGTCCTCATAACTCATGAATTTTAATAAGTGAATTAAAAAAAAAATTTGAGCTAAATTCATATTAATGTTTTACGTGCATCTAAAGTTAGAATTTTCATAAATGCTTCCACACTGTCTTGTTCCTATTTTCGATTTAAAATCTTATTTTTCTACCTCCGCTTTTCAATAGTATTAAATTCTTTAATGATGTATAAGCTAAATTAGCTATATATTTACCAGTTTTTGTTTGCTTATTCGTGATATTTTTGGGCCATTAAAATCAGTAAACAATGTTGTTCCGCTGACTTCATAATCTTCAGACTTCATAAGTTTATTTTTTTCTAATGAATCAGAAATCCCTAATAAAAAAGTAATAAATTGTAATAATATAATTTTAAACTATTAAACAGTTACACACAATACTAGTCAGAACAGATAATCTATTGATTCAACCATACAATTTCTAAGGGTTACAATTGATTATACATGGTAAACATTTAGCTTATATGTGAATAAACAAATCCCAATACAATAAATTAAAAAATGTTTTTATTATTTTTTTGAAAAACGTGTCTTATTTAGTTAGTTGCTAATAATTTATTTATTTTTTAACATTCATTGGATTATAAACAATCCGTAATGGTATTTACAATAAGCATATTATGTGCAAAAAAAAAAATATATATACACAAGATGTAGAGACGTGAAGAGAAAAGTTACCCTACAGTAATACTCGGAGCTAATAATTTATTAGTTATTTATAAGAGCTTTTAAAAATTGAAGTATACTTACAATTTTCGTTGACTATAAATAATCCATTTGCTATGCCAGTTAAACATTCCAAATTAACATCACAAGTATTATTTTTTGATTTTGGTACAATTATGTGAGTAACTTGAGATAATTGCTTTTCTTTCCTTTGTGTCGCATAAATACATAAAAACATTTATAGTGAAACCATAATAAAAAATTTAAATATAAATAATAATCAACATACCAAATATTTTGAACTAATTTAATATTGAATTGTTTACAAAATGTGTTCACAGTTTCACTTTTTAATGAAACATTATTTAGGGCTATGACAGTTTCTTCTAATTTATAGTTGGTATGGCAAATTTGTGTTGATTTACACAAAACTACATTTTCTAATAACTCAGAGAACTTTTCTTTATTAAGACATCTAAAACATTTAAAAATTATTAAGATACACATAATAATTTGATTTACCTTCTATTTACTGTAAAAAATCTTAATTTAGTAGAATCAAATATTTTTAAAGCATTAAGGTCTGTTATCAACTGCATATAAATACATCAGTAAATATATATGTCTTGTAAAATTAATACATTCATCGCTATGCTCAGATGCTAAAAAAATATAATGAGGTTGCCCTTGGTTTTTTTTAAAATGGCAATTTTCTCACCCATAAAAAACATATTTGTAAAACACATTATTGTAAAATCATTGCCTTCATCCCTCAGCTCAGAACCTAATAATACTATGTACAAAATATAATAATAATAATATAATTGTCATCAGTATCTATTTATTATTAGAAAAGTATGTTAAAATAATTAATATTTAATAATCAGTTTATAAAATTAGCTTTTAAAAAATTGTATATCTATTATCTAATAAATAGTATATTAACTTATTCATTATTAAAATTAATTCTTACTTCGCATTATCTCCATACATATTCATAAAATTTGCATCAGCTCCATAATTCAGAATTGTTTTTGATATTTCAAATTTACCATACTTAATAGCTGTATAAAATGGGCTTTCATATTCAAAACCAGGAACATTTAAATATGCACCAAACTTGATTAATTCTTTCACAATATCTAAGTTCCCACATTTCACGGCTTCATGCTTTAAATACAATAAGCACTGTTTTTATACCATAATAATAATAGAACATTTTATTTATCAAAATTATTACCATGGGTGTCCATCCAGCATTATCTTTAACATTAGGATTGAAACCATCTTCAAGCAATGAAATTACTAAATCTAGCTTCCCCTAAAATAGTATATAAGAGTAACCATATCACAAATAAGTTAATACATAATTTAAAATTATTCAATGGTACGCAGTATTCATGGACATTCATGTTACTATACTTTTTTTAATATCAAACTACGGTTTTAACATAAAAAAAAGGATAATAAATATCAGAAAATAATTTAATTTACATATATTTTATATCAATGGTAAGTTCAAAAAGTAAATAATTAATATTTAATAATATTTTTGTTTACATGATTAATTTTTAAAATTAATAAAAAAAAGTTTGATGGGAATTTTATGAATTTAATTTTTACCTTGGCACATGCTGAATGTAATTTTGTTTCTCCTTTACTATTTCGACTATACAAATTTTTGCCAACTTGTTTTATAGATTCATTTAAAGCTTTGACTGAATTTTTCTGAAAGAAAATTGTTATACATTTATTATCATATTTATACATTTGAATTAATAAGTTATTAACATATAATTGTTTTCATTAGAAATCAAATGATTTATATACTAAAATACTGGAGCGTGATTCATTCGGTCGAAAACATAGCTCACAACTTCAATTATTATGCCTAATATAATGTTCTGATATTAATGTTGAAAGCAGATTTGATTCGTCACTGAATTATTTATGCTTTGACTATGTCATTTTTCTGATTTTTATTTTTTTACTTAGACATTTATTAACAAAAATAGTAAAAATAGATCATATTAATAATTTAAATTTAAATACATTGATATAGAATATGAAAAATCTACAACAGTTAAAAGTATAGTAAATTTAGAGGAGAATTCAAATATGCTTTCAAAATTTAAATCGGGACATCCTAATGAGCGTAGTGATTGAAGTCACTGGCAGTATTTTTTGAAAAAAAGTTTGTTATTTCATAAAGTAATAATTGGTGACACGTGCATGCGCGTAGGTAAAATTACAAACGTTATGATGTCCCTATACAATGTGATCGGTACTACGACTAACGCACACTAATGATAATTTACTTTCAACACATTCACATGCCCCATATAACTTGAAATATAAAATACCTAGTTTTTACTCCTTAGAATGGATTACGCCCCAGCCCCCTTAAAATGATTAGTTGTTCAAATGCTTTGATTTTCAAATGCAAACATATAATGTTAAGAACAACTGTGATTTAGTAGTTTATTATTAAATGAATTAAAGTATATAAGAAGATCCATTCAAGTATCTACACTTATTATTTTGAAAAGTTTTGAACTTTTTTGAGAATATTTTTTCATCGTTAAATAACATTTATGAGAAAACATTATATTTTTTTAACTTAAATTGGTCGCCATTTTAGGTTACTCTTATTTTAAACAGTGTATAGACATAATAATAATGTATACTCTTTCAATAATTCTTTAACTTAATAATTAATAAAAACATACATTATTATTGGTATTAGTTTTTCTTTCAGCAATACTAGGAGAAGGTTTTTCTATTTTCTTTTTTTTCGATTTGTGCTCAGAATCTGTTACTGAATTTGATCTTTTTAATAGTTTTGTTGATGTTTTATCTAATTTTTTATTAGTTTGCTTATTGGATCGAGTACTTCTAATAGGTTTTGAAGAAGTTTCCAAACACATATTTGATATTTTGTCACCAATAACACTAGAGCTTGTCTGAGCTGGATACAATTTCTCCTATAAATTTGTATATTTTAAAATTAAATATATAAAAATGTTTTGTTTCTATACTCCATTCATGTCAAGAGAAAGCCATATCTACATATATTGTCTCTATCTTACATAATAATATGTGTAACATAACAAATATATATACTGAATTCTTACTACAGTTTATTTATAATTAATATTAAAAGAAAATTCACATATTATCGAATTTGTAGAAAATAATTTAACCTATGCTTGAGCGAAAAGCTATTTTCTTTTTCAAATATGTATTACAATGCACTTTCGGTAACTTGAAGTTCACGAGGAAAAAAAAATTCAACTTACTAAACATTTTGAGTTAGCAAAATCTTAATGTTATTGTTATTTGAAGGGGTTATTTGTTCGAGATTTTGAGAATTTCGAGTTATCAAGGTTCCAGTTACCGAGAGTCGACTGTATATGTTATTATATTGAGTTATATAAATATTAACATTGAAATTATTCAAATTCTTCAAGTTATAACATTTTTTACATTTTTTTTAAAAAACTCTGCTCTAATATTAACTAATAATTATAAATAAACCGTAGAATTTAATACGAAGATTTGCTTTGTATGTAAGACAGCGACAACATCCTCTTAAGAATGAACCTTGGCGGCCAAAATGTGCACAATTGCTTAACTAAACATTGGATGTACAGTCTTACAAATGGTTAATGCCCCTGCAATCCCTATTCATTTTTCATCAAAACGACCTTAGCGACTGACAAACATTAAAGTACTTCTAGTGGTTCGATTTAAAAAATGTAAAGATGTTTTAATTGGTTAACAAGTCTACTTTGCATCGGTCGGAGCATATTTTTTATATTTTAGATATTTTTGAATATTTTCAATACTAAAAATGTATAAATGTATAAAATGTAAAATATTTATTCTCGTCAAGAATTTGCTAAAATTGAAAAAGTGGTCCGACCGATACATAATAAACTCGTTTACCAACACAAACATCTTTACATTTTTTAAATTGAACCACTAGAAGTACCATAATTTTTGCCAGTGCAACGGGCTCCTTCACATCCATAAATTGGTTTTGTATATTTTGATCTAGACATTGAATGACTTGTGCATGTGTGTGCGTGCAACCATAAACCAGATAAGAAATAACAATATTGTATTGTAAATTGATGCGAGTCGAGGGTGATGGTAGGGAAATATACACACACTAATGATCATTTATTACTACACACGAAGACGATCAGTATTTTCAGGAACGAAATAATTTCCTAAACACAACTCCTTAAAGATGATACATTTGCAGGGGCTTTAACTAAGTGGAGGTATTGCCTAACGGCACACTGACAAAAACCAGTTAGCCTCCAAGGTTCCTTCTCGCTTAATGTGAATGGAGTATAGTGAAAAAAATCACTCACAACTTTGTCATTTATTTTAATTTTAAGGTTATCTGATGTGCTTTCTTTCACATCACCGGATATATCTGGGTTTTTCAATTGAGACTCAGTTAATATAGATTCGATGGCTGATGAATTATTCACAAAATTTGAATTGATCTTTAACATTAAACAATAAACAAAATTAAAATAAATAAATAAAATTATAAAGGTTATTTCATTTAAATACCTCATCAATTTCATTCTTGTGATCATTAGTTGAATTTCCAAGAGTATCATATTTTGGAAAAGTTAGATCTGACGATGATATTTTTTTATTTTGAGCATTATTTAACTGAAATATTTAATATAATTTAAGGTTTGATAAATATTTAATAATCTATAATGTAATCATAATTAATACCTTATCAATTCCTTTCTTCTGATCACTAGTTGTACTTCTAGTAGAATTACGTTTTGAATAAGTTTTTATTTTACTTAGATTATTATCCTAAACATTGAAAATATATATAGTTTAGTCATATGCAGAACTCGGAATTTGAGATGTATAAAATGCAGAATATGCACAAAAAATTGCATAACATGCATGAATAAAGGAAAAAATAGAATGCAAAAATATAGAAAGTATTAAGTACCTTAAAAATGTCTGTCTCGACTTCATCGGTTAAACTAACAGGAGCATCATGTTTTACAAAAATTGCATCTGGCGATGTTATTGTTTTATTTTGAGCATTATTTACCTAAAATATTTAATATAATTTAAGATTTGGTAAATATTTAATTATCTAAAATGTAATAATAATCAATACCTTATAAATTCCTTTCTTGTGATCATTAGTTGAATTTTCAAGAGTATCACATTTTGGAAAAGTTACATCTGGCGATGTTATTTTTTTATTTTGAACATTATTTAACTGAAATATTTAATATAATTTAAGGTTTAATAAATATTTAATAATCTATAATGTAATCATAATTAATACCTTATCAATTCCTTTCTTCTGATCATTAGTTGTACTTCTAGTAGAATTACGTGTTGAATAAGTTTTTATTTTACTTAGATTATTATCCTAAACATTGAAAATATATATAGTTTAGTCATATGCAGAACTCGGAATTAGGTGTATATGAAATGCAGACTATTCACAAAAAACTGCATAACATGCATGAATAAAGAAAAAAATAGAATGCAAAAATAAAGCAAGTATTAAATACCTTAGAAATTTCTGTCTCGTATTCATTGGTTGAACTACCAGAAACATCATGTTTTAAAAAAATTGCATTTGTCGATGTTATTGTTTTATTTTGAGCATTATTTACCTAAAATATTTAATATAATTTACGGTTTGGTAAATACTTAACAATCAAAAATGTATAGCAATAAATACCTTATCAATTTCTTTCTTGTGATCATTAGTTGAATTTTCAAGAGTATCACGTTTTGGAAACGTTACATCTGGAGATGATGATTTTTTATTTTGAGCATTTTTTACCTAAAATATTTAAAATAATTTAAGGTTTAATAAATATTTAATAATCTTTAATGTAATCATAATTAATACCTTATCAATTCCTTTCTTGTGATCATTAGTTGAATTTTCAAGAGTATCACATTTTGGAAAAGTTAGATCTGGCGATGTTATTTTTTTACTTTGAACATTATTTACCTAAAACAATTAATATAATTTACGGTTTGGTAAATATTTACTAATCAAAATGTATAGTTATTAATACCTTATCAATTTCTTTCTTGTGATCATAAGTTGTACTTCTAGTAGAATTACGTTTTGAATAAGTTTTTATTTTACTTAGATTATTTTCCTAAACATTTAAAATATATATAGTTTAGTAATATGCAGAGCTCAGAAGTTAAGGTGTGAAGAATGCACAATATGCACAAAAAACTGCATATCATGCATGAAAACAGGAAAAAATAGAATGCAAAAATAAAGCAAGTATTAAGTACCATAGAAATTTCTGTCACGTATTCATTGGTTGAATTTCCAGGAATATCATGGTTTGGAAAAGTTACATCTGCAGATGTTATTTTTTTATTTCGAGCATTATTTACCTAAAATATTTAATATAATTTACGGTTTAATAAATATTTAATAGCCTATAAAGTAATCATAAATAATACCTTATTAATTCCTTTCTTGTGATCATTAGTTGAATTTTCAAGAGTATCACGTTTTGGAAAAGTTTCATCTGGGGATGTTATTTTTTTATTTTGAGCATTATTTACCTGAAATATTTAATATAATTTACGGTTCAATAAATATTTAATAATCTATAATGTAATCATAATTAATACCTCATCAATTCCTTTCTTGTGATCATTAGTTGAATTTTCAAGAGTATCACGTTTTGGAAAAGTTTCATCTGGCGATGTTATTTTTTTATTTTGAGCATTATTTAACTGAAATATTTAATATAATTTACTGTTTAGTAAATATTTAATAATCTATACTTTAATCATAATTAATACCTTATCAATTCCTTTTTTGTGATCACTAGTTGAATTTCCAAGTGTATCATGTTCTGAAGAAATTAAATCTGGCGATGTTATTATTTTATTTTGAGTATTATTTACCTGAAATATTTAATATAATTTACTGTTTTGTAAAATTTAATAAGCCTATTAGTTTAATAGCTTATTAAATCTTAATCTATAACCATAGTTTAATACCATATCAATCGGAGATGTTCCGGCTAGATAATTTGTTATAAATTGGATATCGAGTAAATTGTTTAATTTCAATCGGGTACCAAGTATTGGTCCAGTAGAAATGTTAATACAAAATGATTATCAAACTATCAACTTTTAAGGTACTATCAACTACCGATTACTGATTGAGAAATTATTAATTAATAATTAAGTCATTAAACACCCAGTACTGCTGCACTGGGTAGTTAATAAAATATAATAGTTCTGCAATTATAGTATGCATTCATAAATTGGTTACTTATCCAAACACATCAAAACTTATATAAATTAAGTACACTATTAAGTTACTTTTAGTTTACTTAAGTTACTTTTATTTTGACTCTTTTTGAACTGTTTACGGACATTGTCAGTTTTAAATTTTTTTTAGTTTTTTTTTTCCTTAAATATCAATAAAAATGTATTTGTTGAGTAAATAAGCTTGAAAATGTAATGCAAGGCTCCTGATATTGTGTTACAATAGCAATTGAAAAATATTAAAAATACATTTGCTCAATTTTTATTGAACCCATTTAAAGTTTGAATTTTGACAAAATGTATCAAATTTAAAATGTATAGGTAATAATTATTTTGTAGTTAAAAATTCATAAAATGTTCAACTTTTGTAGCTATGGATTGAAAATTTAAAACAAGGCTCCACTTCCCCACCTTTTTAAATTTTAAATTTGACAAATATTGCCAAAATTCGAACTTTAAATGCTTATAAAAAAAATTGTGCCTATGTATTTGTAATATTTTTCAACTGCTATTGTAACAATATATCAAGAGCCTTGTATTAAATGTTCAGGCTTTTTGGCCCAATAAATAAAACTTTATTGATATACATAGAAGAAGAAAACGAAAAACATTGGAAACTGAAAATGTCTGTAAACAGCTCAAAAACAAGTCAAAATATTTTGAAAAATATAATATAATTTAGGATAAAGGTGTATAGGAATTGATAAAATAAACATATGATATAAATTTCAAGTATCTACGGTTTTTTGTTTCATAATTACAAATAAATATGAAAATCGCTACATGAGAAATCGAGTAAATATCCAATGTTGTAAAAATTTGAACTTAAAACTCTCATAAAATATATTTTGATTTGCTTGTTGACATTTGTTTTTTTGATAAAGGTAGACAAACTTATGAGGAATCTTGTAAGTTGTATTACATTTTCAAATCTTAGATTAAAAAAAAAAATTTTTATGAATTCTTAACTCAAAATAATTTGTTATTGTCGGGATTTTTCGGTATTTTGTCAAGATTTGAACTTTAAATGCTTATGAAAAAAAAATTGTGACAATGGATTTTTAATTTTTTCCATCTGTCTTTGAAATAATATATTAGGAGCCTTCTATTAAATTTTCAATCTTTTTTTACCCAACAAATATAATTTTATTGATATTTATAGAATAAAAAAAGGTGCTCTGCTGTACAAATGTACAATAGGGTACAAGTGGGTCACTGTATAATGGATGGTGTTAAATTTAAATTCAATGATATAATATCATTGTATAAGAAAAGGGATTCTGAGAGGAGACGGTATGTCAGTCTAGGTATAAGACATATTATATATTTTTCTATTGTATTAAAACAAAAATTGACCTATAATAGATACCTATAATAAATTCGCGTTTTATAACGCGTTATACATCAATAACAAACCCTGATACTATCATAGAGATATAGTAGTATACATTAGAGTTTAGAAGTTTCAAGTACCCACGAATAATATTATACAATCAAAACAAAATAACTAAAAAAGTTTTTCTAGGTTTTTTAATATGCAATTTCGTCCAAATTTGAACTTAAAATGGCTATAAAAATAAACTGTGGTTATGTATTCTTTAGATTTTTTGGTAAGATATTAAACTACTTACGTGGAATCTTGTTTTAAATTTTTAATCCTTAGATATAAAAGTTGAACATTTTATACATTTTTAACTACAAAATAATTATTCAATTTTAAACTTTGTCAAAATTCGATCTTTAAGTGCTTATAAAAAAAAGTTGTGCCTATGTATTTTTAATATTTTTCAACTGATATTCTAACAATACATCAGGAGCCTGTGGTACACTAGTATCGAGAGTCTAGTTGGGTTTCGTTAGGTTTAGTGAGGTTTAGTTAGGTTTAGTGAGGTTTAGTTAGGTTTAGTTAGGTTTAGTGAGGTTTAGTTAGGTTTAGTTAGGTTTAGTGAGGTTTAATCTAATGCTGCTAACGGCATGGCCGTTATATTATTTTTTTGATTTAAATAATTTCGACAACGACAGCGCCATCTAGCTCCGCCGAATCATTTTTAACACTAAGTCGAGCTTGAAGAACTTATTATAGTTAGATAGCGTTGTCATATGGGATTTACAACACGGACATCTCCAAGACACTGCAATTTTATTTGCAAATGGTCGAGTAGCAGAATTTATATTTTTTTATGCCAAGTAGATATTGTAGTTTGAAGATTTTTGTATTAAATTTGATGTCGAAAAATATAGATACATTTTTAAAAAGTAGGTACCTATCTATTTTTCAACTCACAATTTGTCATTTTTTATATTTTTTTATAAAATGAAATAGTATTTAAACCAATATAAAATATCCTTTTAGGACAGTAAAAATGCTTAGATTTTCTTCAACAGTATCTTTTCTGATAGGGAAGCGAATCTAGTTAGTACTTTGGGGGGTAATATTTCCCAGTAGTTTTCAAAAGCTTCGTGAAAATAAAATAAAAATTAAGGAAAAACGGGAATTTTTACTCAAAAATCTGTTTTCGAGAAAATTGACTTTGGTTTTTGGTGCAACTCTTAAACAAATGACCGTAGGTACATGACATTTTGACTGAATGTTTATATTAGCATTTTCTATACACCATAACATTTTCCAAATATTTTGAGATGTTTACGGACATTTTCAGTTTCCATTTTTTTTAGTTTTTTTTCTATAAATATCAATAAAATTTTAGTTGTATGTTAAAAAAGCTTGAAAATTTAGTAGAAGGCTCCTATTATATTGTTTCAAAGGTAGGTGAAAAAAATTAAAAATCCATAGACACAATTTTTTTTTATAAGCATATTTTAGTCTTACACTAATATCAGTTGTTTAGGTAATAGTCAACAAGTAGCAATGTACAATACTATAAATATGTTACATTTTATGTATAGGCGACGATATTATCAATATTGTATATTGTAGCTAAAATAGTAAAATTTAAATAATAAATACTAAATACTAGTCTTTTTCAACAATATAAATATTTTGATTCGATATTGATATAGCGAACTGTTTTTTGGACATTTAGATATTGATGAAAATTGTTATAGGTACCCTGTCAGTAATTAATAATATTTTTATTTCACAATGAAAATAATTTAAATTTAAAATTTATTTATTGAATGAACAACAAATTATTCAACATTCTGAGGCTGAAGCCTATTTCTTTTAGTTTTGTAAAAATGTAGGTATTAACCCATTAGCGCCGTGCGTTGCCATATGGCAACATAGGTAGACCTATTTTTAGAAGCTAATTTCTCATTGGGAATTTGACCAATAAAAAAATTTAAAAAACAAAATAAAAAAATTTCGGCGCTAATGGGTTAAACTGGTACCAATTAAGGGCAGGGTAAAAATTTAATATTATGAATTATGATGGGTACCGAGTAAGGGCCAGTTCTAAATATGATATCTATTACTCAGCCATCGAGTAATTACCGTGTACCCGGAACACCTCTAATATCGATTCCTTTCATGTAATTATTATTAGTTAAATTTCCAGCAAAATTATGTTTTGGAGAAGTATATTTAATAATATATAAATAATAACTATTCAGTCAATTATTCAGTTATCATATTATTAAATACCATGATAATTTGAGTTATGTGATCATTAGTTGAACTTACAGGAAAATCTTCATTTTTTGAAGTAGTTATGTCTGGCGATGTTATTATATCATTTAGTTCTTGAGAACTTGTGTTGAATAACTGTTCTTGTATTTTTTTATTAGTTTTTGATGATTCTTCATCGTTGTATTTTAATCTTGAAATCATACAAATAATTAAGTAATTTTTAATAGCCATTGTAAAATACTTGGTAGACATAAAAATCTCGATCTAAGGAGCAGACTGAAGTCACTTACTAAATATAATATAATACAAACAATTTAAAATATTACCATTATTTATTGTTATTCCCATTCAAATAAAATAGTTAATTACATTAAACTGAATATAATTTTTTTTTAAATTTAGGAACTTAATGAAACTTCAATACTAATTTAAAAAATGTGTTAACAGTAACAATTATATTATTATGTACTTAATAATATGATATAAATCTTAGCATTATTAATTTTAGCATGTTTAATTCAATGTTTTCTAAAATATATTAATAGATATAACAAAATAACTTACTTAAGATCAAGCCATGTTATTATATTTTCCATGTATGTTGCAAACTCATAATGTCTATATTTCGTTTCTGTTTCACGATGATAACATTCAGTTTTCAATATGCGGTCTAAATGAGGAATCTTCATTACTTTATTACTAAAATTATATGAAAAAACAATGTAGACTCATTACAACCAAACAATCATATGTTTTACAAAATATCTTTCTGTCTTTTTCCTAGTTCAATGCAATGCCTGCCTATTTTTGTAGCATAACCTTCTACCGGCTTCCTGTCAAACTTTTAAACTTGTTAAACTCTTTGAATACTTAATAGAAATTTACAATTTAACTTTTATAGTAATAATATAAATCACCTAAATTTAATTAAAAATCAGTTACAAAAAAGTTATAAAATGGTGAGAAACTGTTTTAAAATTAAGGGGGAAAGGCAACTGCTAGCAACGGTTATGACTAGTCAACCACTCTACGCCACTCCGATATGGGCTGATGAGCTGAAATATAATCAAAATGTGAGCACTGTATTAAGAGCACAAAGGAAAATTGGTCTACGGTCTAGAGATGGCAAATATGACGGTCTGTCAGTCTCAACTCTTGCAATAATTTGTTAATTTTCACACCCCACTCCTTGTACCATTTTTCGAAGAGGGATAGATATATTTTAAGATGTAAAAACAATTTTCAATTTTAAAATACTCATAACTCTTTTTAGGTGAAGACCATTAAGTTTAAATTGTATTGTTCGATAAATGATACGGCTACAAGGGGAAGGATGGCCCGAAAGGGTGAAGTACCTCCTTGTACCTCCGTGATTAACCACAATAGAAAAAAAAAGATTTAGGTTAAGGATTAGGGAACGTAATTTATTTCGACTTATTAAGGTTTTTGACTTATTGAGGTTCCACTGAAGGATTTATACCTAATAAAATAGATTAGAACTTACCAATAAAATGGTCCAAATGCATATAAGAAATCATCTCTGATATATTTATCATAGTTATTCTTTAAATATTCAGAATTATACAAGTAAATTTCACTCTCTCGCGATGTCTTAATTCTTGTCATGCATTCACTAACATTGCTCTCAGTTGTAATCAACTTTGCCTATAAAAGAAAAAATGTTGTTATTATAATTTTACATAATTAATATGTTATAAAAAGGCACAATTCTAGAAAACTAGAAAAATAAATAAATGACAATTTAAGATACAGTTTTAAATATTTATGCAGCAGCCTAAGATTATCAAACATAATTTTGGCAAAAATGCAGTTTAGCTCCCAAGCGATTTTTTGGAATTTTTTTTTTTCAAAATATGTGTTTTTGCATGCCTAATTTGATGGTACTTTCAAAAAAAGCTGGTCGAACTTATTTTGGAAGTGATGGTAAAAAAACTTCAAAATGCTCAATTTTTTCAAATATCGTGTTTTTGAATTTAAAATACCAAAAATTTAAGTTTTTAGAATTTTTTTCTTTTAGAAATGTTTGTATTTATATGCTCAACATGGTGGAATCAGAATTTGTCTATCGTACTTACTTTTTATGTTATTGTTAATAAACCACATAAAACTGAATAATGGAGATGTCGAGAATATTCCACAAATTTAAGTCGAAAAAAAGTAAATTCTAAAACTTAATTATTTGAAAATGCAGTTTTTCAGTTCCCAATAGTTTGACATTGTAATCGTTCTATTCAGGGGCGGAGTGGGAACCAAATCCAGGCCGGGAGTTTAAAATTTATCCAGGTCCCCCACCAAATTTTTTGTTTCTCGCTACGCTCGAATTTGGTTTTTATATTTGCCTATTCCAAAATTACTTTCAGTATTAGAAAAGTATTTCAATCACTATCTTGCTATTTCTTTTAACTTCTGTCTTCTAACACATTGTATTAATATACCAATAAGTAATAATACCTGAAAGTCCGAAAACATTATCACAATCTATAGAGATTTTAGATTCTAAATTATTACTGTTTGATGTTTGATCTGAAAAAAGTTAAATTAAATTAATACAAATACATTTTATTCAAAATATTGAAATATAAGAGCAAGATAAATTATCAATGAGGAAATGCACTAGGCAAATTAATTACATTTATTACAAATGTGTTGGAAATTCTTATATATTTTCTTAATTTTATTTATGAGCAATTTAAATAATAATAAGTCGTTCAATTTTTTTTTAAATTAAAAATAATCCCAACATAAGTCATAACTAGGAAACTAGAACATTTAACTAAATAGTAAATAAAATACTTTTAAGGTACACAAAATTACTTAAAAGGAAAAAAGTGGATACACCATAAACGACACCGTCGACATATACTCAACACCAGTGACCAGAGGACAAATATCAAACACTAATGACTAATTTGTTTGAGTTTATTACAGATATTATTTATAAAAATAACAATGACCAAAGTAAAGTGACCAATAATACAAAATTAATATGTATTAATAATTAATGTATTATCATTGATTGTTATAAAATATACAAAATAGTATTAGACATTAGTTGTAGTACTTATAATCAATGGTATTATTAGTTATTATTAGCCATTTGGCATTGCTATATTCGTCGCCACTCAACAGCCCTACCGGGTACAGATAAACAACTTGCAGGTTTCAACATGCGAAAATGCGTCGAATCAGTAATTTATAATTTCTTAGTAGGTAATTAGTTCTGTTGGATTGAACCGAGACTACACACTATCTGGGTGTTTTTTTATAAAAATAATCGAACTATATAAATATTATATTGCTTTGATTTTATTTGATATCTATATTTATGTACCAAATATTTTGTAATTTTATATCCAAAGATTTCTCATAAGATTTCTCATACGAGGCTATTATAATTTACTATTATTTCATTAATAATATTTGTAATACAATAATTTAATAGAAACAAATTTTTGATGCATTTAGCATAAACTAATATTTTGAAAATTAATTTAAATTTAAAAAAAAATCTAACAAATGGCCAGGCCACAGTATGGTCCAGGCCATCTGGAAAATTCCCAATTCCAGACCGGCCACCTCCGCCCCTGGTTCTATTAATTTACCCATGCCCCCCCTCCTAAATTGCATTCGTTCCCATAATTTTACTAAATATTTGTGTCTAACAGCATAATCGGGGCAGACAATAATACTATGTAAGAATAGTCAAGCGCATATTATATTCTAACCTACTACCGAGTGATCACTAACAGTAGACGAAGTACACGATTGTGTAGTCTAATACTCACTAATTTGTGTTTAAAGCGTTTAAAAAGCATTCTCGGTAAATATGGGAATTATACAGTACCATTGATCATCCCAACATGTAGGACCGCACGAGGTACAACTTGATACAACTTACGCTGGGTTCTGCGGTATGTCCATTAGCCGCTGTTCCAGGCTTTTCGCTGAGTGAAAACTCCATAATACCGCTAACCACGGAAGACGTCAAGACAAAGTGTTGGACACGATGAACGTAGAAGAATTAAGAAACAAGAACCACGCGTACAAACATGGTGGACCGTAGAGGCCGTGTAGAAGAGTGAGCCCGAGGTTATGAGCATAGAATAAAATATATAGTTACGAGCACAAATATAAAGAATAATATAAATATTACTATAATTTATGATTACAATAAATAATACTTTTAACTTTTAAGTAAGTAAACAAGTTTTAATCACAATCAATTTACGAATTAATAGATGGTATTTTAAATCCAAGGTTTATAGACAATAATTAGAGAATTAATCTAAAAATGTGTATGATCATAGAACATTGAATGACGAAGTAACGCGAAGTAACACACTAACAACGCAAGGCACGAACTAAAGAAACGAACGATATCTAAGTAGGCATGTGCAAATTTGTATTATTATAATCGTGATTCCCGCCATAAAATTATCACGGCTTATCATAATATTTTGTAAACGGGATAGAGGTACTTGTCCCGAAAATCCATATTCCATGGACATTATAAATCCCTGAAAGTTTATATCCCGAAACTATAATCACAGAACGTAGTTTTCCAGAAAGTGATAACGCAGACCATAACATAACTCAAAGCGGCTAAGAATGGCCAATGCTGAATTGTTAACAAAATTGAAAATTTTAAAATGTCAATAATTTCCAAACTTCTCAAGTATTGTGCAATACTTAATGGTTTTCCTTTCGGATGAAAATTTCCTGGAACATTGTCACTCGGGTATAGGTTTGTGAGACAATTTTCTCGACTGTTTTCAAACATGGACGTAGATCTTTTGCGCCCTGGTATGATACCAATCGCACCCAACACTAAACTTTGGTTTGAATTTCTCATCGAACCATCCCTCCTCGAAGAACATTTGAACAACCCTCATGCAGGTATGAACATAAATAGTATTTATTTTTCTTTCTAATTTATGTAAATTACTATTGTCAATAACTATTGACCAATGAATTTACATAAAGTTATTTTAAGTAAGTACACTAGATTATCAGGTTTTTATTGGTTTGTACTAGCGTAGCTATAGATTTTCATTTGTGTGTATGGTAAAACATAAGTTTTATATTGAAATTCAATGTATTTTATTTAAAGTCTTAGGTAAGTATGTGTTTTGTATGGAACATAAATTATTAGTACAAATGTTTAAACTTAGTAAAATCTATTCTCTGACTCAATTGTATGATTTGAAATTCAACAATTGCAAGAAATGCTGCATTTTAATTGGATCTATGAAATTATTCTTTAAGTTAAGCGGAAGTCTATAGTATGACCATATGTCATATAGTATAATATGTCCCACATTCTGGGGAATTGGCTCACTCTAAATAAATACAACAAATATTTTGAATTTTTATAAATGTAGGATAAAAGCGTGATTAGTTAAAGAGTGATTTAAAATAAGGGACGTAGATCTCAACTCTTTTATCCCACATTTATAAAAACTCAAAATATTAATTTTTTTTATTTCATTATGAAAAAATTTAAATATTTCATTTAATATCCCTTTCACGAAAAGTTAGATATTTGTTTTGAACAATAGGTATATGAAACATTTTTCGTGAGTATAAATAAAATAAAGATATTAATTATTCATCAATTAGTTGAGGTTAGGTATTTTTTTAATAATAATTCTTAATTTATAAGCAGGCAAACTTGTAAGCTTTTTTTACTACATGATAACTTATAATATTTCATTGTTACAGATCCTAGTGCCACAGAACTACTAATAAAATTTCTTTATTCGTCCATGGAGAGGCCAAAAGACTTGCCACTGATTGATATTGACGATTTAATGGATAACTCAAGGATTGACAAAAAAATTGAATATCGAAAACGTAAAAAGTATGAATGCTTAACAATATGGGCTATGAAAATTGTCAGTTTTTGGGAATGGGACCTAAACATCTTACAAACCAGGTAATTTTGTTTGGTTGGTGATACTTGTTTAAATTTAAAATTTATATTTTAGTAGATATACACCTATTATTATTATTATTAACAAAATTAATTTGATTTATTTAGGGTTCCAATAAGTCTTCAGATAATATTTGTCCAAGACCTTTTAGATTTAGTATCAAATGGTATGAATTTAATTGATTTTGAGTCTCACATCTCAATTGAAGATTTATCACAGTTAAAAGACGAACAAATATTTGCTATTGCACTATTTCATCGATGGACCTTAAATGTGATTATAAACTATACACTATCCAAAAAATCATCATTTACTTTAGGTCCTGTACAGTGAGTTATATATAATTATATGGGTACAAAGTATCCAAAGATTCTTAAAATATTACTAGATCTTTCTGTTACATACCTATAACATACAAATAAGATACCTAATACACTATACATATTATTTACCTTTATTCTACTCTTGATTTAGAGATGGAAATGAAGATGTTCTATTAAAATTAGAGATGCAAAGTGAACTTAGTGAAAAATGTTCTACGACTTTTAGATTTGAAAAGATCATCATATACAATACCAACAATAAATACATTTAATCCTCCTAATGAGTTAAAACCTTTAGCTTGCAATTGGTTTAAAGGCCTAACTGTGTCATCAGCTGAATTTCTTTCTCAGGTATTTATATTAATTATATTAAATCATATTAAATATTATAAAATACTATCGTAAATTATTTTTATTTTTAAACACCATATTTAGATAATGTATGATTACGCAAAGTATAAATTCTTTAAAGCACAATATGAAGAAGCTGGTATTTATTTTAAAAAGTGTAAAAAGTTAAATATGAACTTAACACCAAGTTTATTTCATAAAATAAAACTAGAAGAATTAAATGGATTCTGTGCAGCCTGTTCATCTGAAATAACGGAAAAATCAAGTTTATTAATGCAGTTTTTGTATTCTACCCAAACCAATCATAATGTAAGTAAACTGTATTATTTTCATTACCTACTTATTTATGTTTTTTATATTATTGATGATGATTATTTGATATTATTTCTTGAACAGGAATTCTCAAAATTTAGAAAACTGATAACCAGATTATGGAGATTCCAATGTTTTTAAGAGACGCATTGGAACTTGACTTGGCTTCCATGTTATCCTTGGGAAAATTCACTGCATCAAGAGACATGTTACTTCATATACATACAATGAATGCTATTCGAAGAGCATCAGTAACTTCTGGAGAAATTGTGTTATTACCTCCTGAAGATTATGTTACAAAAATTAAATTTAACCTCAGAGGTCCTGAAATATTTTTAAAGGTAATTTATTACTTACTATTTAAAAATGTAGTATCTGTTATAACTTATAAGTATCTAGACTTTATTCAGGAAAAAATCGAGGGAAAATATATTGTGTAGAGAAAGTCACTTTGGTTACCACACAGTTTTTTATATTATTATTATTTTTTTTTTTTTTAATTAGGTAATGTGTAGTTTTATACCTTAAAAACAATTGTGCAGTCACAATTTTTTTGGTCGGACTTATAGTTTTGAATTTATAGTAATTTAAAGGTATTGCTTGAAAAGCAATTTTTTGTGACTATTATTTTGATGCAATATATGATAAATAGGTAATGAGTTCTCTTTTTAACCCCATGGCCTAACTGAAGTGGTTTGAATTGCAAATTAAGGGATGATTTTAATTTGCCGGCAAAGAAATTACCTAGGTGCTGAAAAATGAAGCAACAAGTTCCATCCGTACATAAAAAAATTGTTGTACTATACTCTGTCAGCACAGCAGGCCTGTACTCCTCAGCACTCCCCGTACCAAGAGACATGTGTGGAAAAGACCGGTTTTCGTTCTTGCGACTTGACACTCTTAATCTGGACAGAGTATAATGAATTAAAATATTGCTTGTTTAAAAAAATAATAACGATAATAACATGAATTTATAAAATGTAAATAATAATGAAAAATGAATTATATTATTCGAGTGTAAATTGATAAATTAATTAAAAATAATATTTAATTTGTTATACATTGCCAAGTGTTAAAAATAAATGGTGATAAGGTATTTAGTAAATAATAATATGTTGCGTATAATTGTTCATAAAATAAAATAACTTAGGGATGGGTAAAACTTAATTTCATCTGAAGTAAAGATAAGTCCCTTCTTTGATTCAAAAATTATTTAACTAGACTTTGATCACTGGTCAGAATACTGTGTTACCCGAGAGTTATTTGTTTCAGTATACATATTACACATAATATATTATGATGTGTACCATATAAATTACAAATTATAATATAATATATTTTACTATTTTAGCATATTCATAATCATTATTAACCAGATTTTATTTTTAATTTCTAGGATATAAAACTTTGTACGCAAATTAAAGATAAAAAATTTAGAAAAAACATAAAAATGTTTGTGTGTAATGTTTTACTAAAATGTCCTAAGAACTTGGTAAAAGACATTTTAAAAGATGGACATGAAGAAATACATGAATTATTTGGCGATGAAGACATACATAAATTACTAACGTTACCTGAAGATATACCAACTATTAATATTGATATGTCTAAACGTTTGGATCGATTAAAAATCACCCAAATAAGTATGTGGTACTTTTATTTATATATTAATTTTACTAATTTTTTATTTTCATACTATTTGTTTTATTTTTTGTTTTTAGATAATGTTAATGTACAAAAAGTTTTATTAAAAAACAAAATAAGTATTGAATATGATTCAAGCAACTTACGTAGTTTACTACAACAATTACACAAAATGGATGTGGATCCAATGTTTAGTATTTTAGATATAAATTATGAAGTGAGTTGTTAGTTTAAGTATTTTAAAATGATTTTCATCTTCAACCATGTTTCTATGCAATTGTTAATGTGCATTTAGAGTTAATTAGATTTTACCAATAAAATTAAAAAGGAATTAATATGCCATATGGACCTAACTCCTGATTTTAGTTAACGCTCATTAACGATTGCAAATAAACGTGATATATAGTAGTTCATTATCATTTGTTCTGAATATATTGTATAATAAATATAATTTATCTTCAACATCATCAAACCATTGTTTTTTTTTTTTTTTCAGTGGCAAGTTCCTTTACCTTTGCATAGTCTTTTAATGGGATTACCTAATGGATTATTTAAATTTTTGGTTATTATTTTAATTGCTAAATCGAAAGAAATGATAAAGTTAAATGTAAGTCAAATTATAAATTTAAATAAATGTTTAATTTATATATTGTATATACATGTGTTGGTGTGTATAAATAAAAAAAATATGATAATAATAGGTATTAAATAATTTTTTATTTAGGACTTTGAAAGAGCAAAATTGTTACTACGAGAAGCTGAAACCGAAACAAAAATTAATAATAACATTATGTACTCCAAAATTAGACAATTAATTTCATGGGAAGGATTATATACTGAAATGCTTCAATTCCAGTATGAATTCAAAAATTTTGGTTAGTATTAATATTTTGGTTACCTTAAATAAAAACAAAAAATATATAATAATTTATATGTATTAAGTTATTTAAATGTTTAAATGTTTTTATTTCTATAGCCATTGGAGATCTTGTGGAACGCTGTAAGCAATGCCTAGAATTTGTACAAAGTGATAATCTAATACCACGCCAAGAAATAGCTGAACAATGTGTATTAACTCTATTAAATGTTGGTGAATGGGAATATTTGACAAAAAGGCATTATAATTGCTTTAAATTACCATTAGCTATTGCTTATACTTGTCTTGATGTTAATAAATTTAAAGGTACTAAAAAAAGTGCTAAAGAAGTATGGGATTTGAGTAAGTGTTGAAAATGTTTTTAATAAAGTTGTGTAATTACTAATTAATAATGTTAAATGTTTGTAGTTCTACCAGTGTTTGATTATGGTTATTCAGCTACTAATAAAAGACCCTTAGATGGTGATCCTCAATGTACTCAAAACCGAGTACTAAGCCAAAATGACATAATGCGTGTATTTTTGAGTTTAAGGGACCAAAATGCCATTCAAATAGTTCTTTCATTATTAGCAAAAATTCAAAATGTTCTTAGAGATGAATCTGCCATGGAACTTATAATGCCTTTCCTCAATATTTGGCCAGTCGTTCCCAAGTTTGTTTAATATAATATTAATATCTATTATATGTTGTTGTACAAGTTATTTGTTGATTTTTAAGTTATCAAGTTATTTATTGTATTTAAAAGATTAATTTTTTTTAGCAATATGAGTATTCCTCTAAGAAATATAACGGAAGTATTGGGAATTGTATTAACCGAATCACTCAAGTACCATCCAAATCATATAATTTTATTGAAACTAAAAGGCGATCTGCAATATGGTAATTTTAATATTATATTTTATATTTTGTTGTAAATTAATCTTGGGCAACTTAAACTTTCATTTTGGACAATCTTGTATCATGGTTTTAGTAATGTATATAATGTAATCAAGTCAGGTATCAAGATGAGCATTGATCATACAAAGACCTAAATTCTAGATGTTAGGATTCAAATTAATAATAATAGATATCTAATTAATAAAAATAAAAATAATTTGTTTCAATTTCATTGACATTATTATGACTGAAGTTTTAATCTTTGTAGTTTTTAATTGGCTTTTAATTAATAATACATAATATATTATTAACAATTCAAAGGGTGTAATTACTAATTATTAACTTGTAGTAATGGGCCACTACAGTTCTGCAATGAAATGGTATCTGGAAGCCATTGTTATAGTCAGCGACTACTTTGCACGGCCGGTTTTAAAGCCAATGATTGAAGATTATGTTTATAAAAGAATGATGAAATGTTGCATGCAAATGCAAAATTTTACACAGGTAACAATCTTTTAAGTATAAACTTGTTTTAAATAATACAAAGTTGTATTATTTTCTTTTTTTATAGGCAGCAATATTATGTCTGTTTCAAGAAGAAATAGATTATGCAACTGCATTCAAATGCGCTTCTGAGACAAATTCATGTGATGCTTTGGATGAATATTATGATTATATATGGGATATAAGTTTGTTGGAATTCCTTATATATTGGCATACTAAATTAAACCATCAGGAACATAGACAAAAGCTTGTAAGCGATTACATTTTCATTGATAATTTAGTTGATCTTATGTTAAATAATAATAATACTAATTAATTATCTGTTCACTCGCTCAAATTCAAGGTTTCATAACTTGAAGACTTTAATAGATGATTCCCTCATATAGTTTAGTTTCATAGTAATAATTTAGTTTAGCTTCCTTAAGTACACAAAAGTGGTTAAAACTCTACAGCAATAGGATCACCTGCATAATATTTATTGTTTTCTAGAGATTATCAATGGTATTAAAAATTCAATCTTTAGGGGTCCCACAAAATTTAGATACAAAAATCTATGATCACAAACTTTTTATATCTGTCAATAGTACATATTGTACTGCACACATAGTTGAGTAATTTATCATTTTGTATTCTGAATGGAGTAATATGTTTAGTACTGCTGGTGTCATCCGTACAGACAATAATGTAATTTTCGGGGTTAATATATGACAGTAATATTTTGTATATTAGTTCTTCGTTTAACGGATGATAACTGATAAGTATTAACTTGTTTAATGACACTATTCCTGTTGTCGCTATACATTTTTCATGCATATTATGTACTTATTAATTATTATTTCCTTTCTTATTTTATCTACTGTCTTATTTAATTATTGGCAGGAACACATTCCAACAATTTTTATCGGTATAATTTTTACTGTATTATATACTTACATATTTTCTTTGAAATTAAATTAAAAGTAAATTTCTTTAACTCAAATACTTCCACATCTTGAATTTTATTTTAGTTCCCTTGAGATTTGAAGGACCACTGTATATTTATTTTTAATTGGACAGAAAATGTGAATGGAATTATTATTTGTTGAGGAGAAAAGAATATTCAATATTATTTATTGCAAGTTATTAGGTTTGTGCTCGTGCAGAGTGATTCTTTTATCAAAGAACTCATTACAAAATATTTTTTTTTTACATAATTTTAGGTCACTACTAAACATAATTTTGTATTTTTTATATTATGATAAAGTTTCTTGCTTTTTCTGAATGACAACGTGCATTTTTAATTGCATATTCCAAAGCAGAATATTTTTAAATTATTTTTAACTTTTATATACCAAATAGTTGGTTAAATATTCTGCTTTGGAAATTATAAGGAAATTAAATTAAAAATTTGTTGTAATTCTCAAATTAAAAAAACTATTACGATAAAATATTTTTTTTTAAAAATGTTATGACATGGCTTAAAATTATGTAAAAAATGTTTAAAAAAAAAAAGTTTTAATAGTTTTCAAGTTATTGAGTGTTAAATTTGAAAAAAGACCCATGGTATAATATATAATATACATATTATAATATATTGTAATACAAATACTATATACATTTTGAAAGTACAATTTTTTATTTTATACGTATGTCTATTTAAAATGGAGTGTTTTTATTTTTTTACATATATAGTTGAAAACAATTGGTGCGTTGGAGTTAAATGCAAATAATAATGAAGAAATTAAAAGAGAAGCAGCCAATATAAGAAAACTAAAATTTTTAAGAGCACTATCACAGCAATATGTACATCCATAAAAAAATAACTAAGGTCAATCTACTGTAACAATAATACATTGATTTTATACATTTAAATTTCTAAAAATAAAAACACAAAAAAATGGACATTGATTGTAATTATGTAATGTTTAAATTTTAATAAACATAATAAAGTAAATTGGTGATAAAAAAAAAACATTTTGATACTTACTAAATAGGAATAATTTACGTGACATTCTTAAATAGTTTAAATTAATACAATTGTTTCCAGTTATCACTCAGAACATAAGACAATATAGATTTCTAGAGGTTGAACAATATTTTAATTGTTAAATCTCAGAACAATTTTTAAAAATATTTATTTTTAATTTATTGAAAATATCAATTGTACTCAGATTTAATGTACATTATCTCCCACGACTATCATATTAATTATTTTTATTTTAGTCCAATTCATTATTTGAGCATTTTGTTTAATTTTTGGCTTTTCTTAACAACAAGCTTACTTTAATTAACTAAAATAATAGTAATATTGTATACAATTGTATATTAGTCAGTGCATAACTATGACGTCTGGAGCTGATTTAGTTGATTCAATACTGTAAGGCCTTTGACTTAGTTCAGATGAAAACTTATCCATTTCAATAACGGCCTCAGCCCTAAATTTTGATGGCTTTGCATCAGCGGAACTGTCTGAATCTTTTCGATATCCAAAAGTAGAAAATCCTAATGGTTGTCTGAAAGGTGATTCTGACGGTCTTACTCTATAGTGGCCAGCAGTTTTTGGTACAACGGAAGTGTCAAAAAGGCTCTCTCTAGTTTGACACTCAATATCTTTGGTTTCAGCCGTTATTGGATAGGAACTCATCAATCCATCACCTTCTTCGTCTTCAACAGAAGGATAAAGGCGAGGAGGGTCATGCTTCATTAACACTGGAATAAGGTCACCCGATGGAACATAACAATCAGAACTAGATATGTTATTAGTATGTTTGCTCTGGATTAGGTTAGTGGTTTGACTACTGTTGTCACTTTGTGGATAATCATGTCCCTGTGGACCAGAATCTTCAAGTGATTGTTCGTCTGTTACATTTATTCTTCCAACTTGATCTAGATGATCTTCTCTTGAATGGCGCATATGTTCCTGATAAAAAAAGTTTTGGATTACAATAAATTTATTAACCTGAAACTGATAGTTAGATACCTTATAATAAACTTGTTTGTTTATAATGTAGGTAGGTACAAGAAATATCACATATACCTACACAAAATGGTATTCTAATGCATTGTCATTCTCAAAAGTAACATGAAAATAAAAATTTTAGATAGGCGCCTACTAATTGTGTTTTACAATGAGTTATTTTTTGTGTGTCATCGCCTTTATGAGCACTATAAATTCACCAACCGTCAACTTTTAAGTTAAAAATTCACACTACTTTTTAAAATTATTGAAAAACTTGGTATATGTATTTACGTAAAATAGTGTCAAAAAATTTTTATTAACAATTTTTCATCCAATTGTTTTAGTAATGGGATTGTAATTAAAAAATATTTACCATATGAGACTTTGACAATACGTAGGTGTTAGGTATATCATATATATTATTATTATTTCCTATTTTAGGTAGTAGGTACAGTATAATATAGCTTATAGTTTTGTCATTGAATTCAAATTTTACAGTGACATACCCATTTAACTACCTACTAGTTGGAAAAATTGTTATTAATAGAAACTATTATAATATCTCAGTGGACATCATATATCATCCATGCATGATGCATCTATAATACAAGTATCTCATTGTTGACATTTGTATGGTAGGTAGTTGTTCTGTGGTAAAATCTACATTATCTACTAGTTAACAGGGGCGGATCCAGAGTTGGGAAACTGTGGGTGAGGACATTTCAAGGGGTCACTTATTGAAACCAAATTAGAAATCTATACTTATGTACAAGGTATATAAAACAAAAAAATGTATTTATTTGTTATGTGTTATGTATTTATTCGAGGGTCCGAGTGTCCAACCATCCCAAGATCTGAAAACAAGCCAATCTGATCAGCAAATATTGACCGTGGACCCCTGGAACCCCCCTCCCCCTAGATCCGCCCGCGCCGGTTAAACAGTTTTGTAGAACCTACTTTTATAATTCGGTGATCGTGCACAAGTTTTCGGACAATATTGGTGATGAATGCTGAACACATGCCGCACAGGATTAAAAAAAACACCACCAAAATCACTATTATATCGAAACTCGAAAACAATTGCATCAATCTGTTGTCTTCTTCCTGCAACGATTCGAAATCAATAGGTAGTTATTATGTGAAACTAATGTTACGAAAATTCAAAACAAAAGTCGAGTATAGGTAATTATCGACGATTCAATACGAACCGGGCACCCGTCTTCGTCCCATCGAAAACGACAATTCTCCACTTGATTGCAACGCAATTCGGACGCGATACACGTTAAGTCTTCACAATCGTACTGATCATTACCGCAAGCTGTAAAATATAGTTTCGAATAGGTCAAGACGTGGTCGATATATATGACACACAAACGTAAAACTATACCTATACGTCCGTACAACATAGGCGGGAATTTGGTGAAATTACTGGGGGGGCTGAGCATTATATTTCTCATTGTACCTATATAGGCACTATTGTACTAGAGTAGCTCGCAATTATTTATTTCAACAAGACAATTTACAAAGTTTGACATACTAAACAATTTAACCTTAATAAAGTACAAAAACAATAATGTGCCATATAGGTACCTTGAACATTTTATTCTAAACAAAAATAGCATTAAATTTATTTTATTATTGAGTTATTAAATTAATTGAACTATAACCAATTTAATATAGGTAAGATGCTAAAACAAAGAAGCCAAGTATATAACATAATAAGTGTACTTATATATTTATTTCAGCACAATATATCGGTTTTTATTAGAAAAAGCATTAACTATATCAGTATTATTGATCTGTTTTGCCAAATCTTTTTCAATATTGCTAATAGAAAGGTCATTCAATCTATTTATCTATATTTTGTAATTCAGATATTAAAAATGCATTTTTTAATTATACTAATTATTATTATATATTTTTATATATTTAGTCACATTAAAATTGTGAGGGCCAGGGGGGGCTAAGACCTGTACTTTAAAATTCTGAGGGGGCTTAGTCCCCTCTAGCCCCCCCCCCGATTTCCGCCTATGCCGTACAAGTCTTTGGCTTCCTTTTAAGTAGACTTTAGCATAGATTATCTGACCGGGGCAGGTAGATTTACAAAATTGTCCGACTTACCTACGGCGGGGAAGGGGGAGGGGGCATTCTTTTGATTCTCATCGAAAAACATTATAATATTAATGTATTTCCAAGCTATTAAAAATTAAAATACCTACCTACTTAAAATGTCGTCTGCCCGTAGTTTGTGGATATGTCTAAATATTAATATGATCTACCGTTATGTACCTATTGTTCTGATAATGTAAGCGCAGAGGCGTGATCGTAGAATAATAATATGATAATTATTCAAATTGAGGTGGGTTTACATTAGAGCCCGGCTATAGACAATTCACGCATTGGTTCTCGTTCGGTAGCATTTGTTTCCGACTCCAATGTAAACCCCCTTTAAGGGAGAAGGTCACCCGAGTACTTATCTCAAGAGCAAAATTCTTTTTTAAAATTCAAAACGGTATAAAACATTTTAAGACCTCCCTTCGCAAATCTATTGTACAAGAAGCACAGTACACGGTGTGACGGTTTCAAAAAACTTTATTTGAAGACAATCTGATGACATTAAGTTCATCAAAACGGTTTTCTTTTTACGTTTTTATTGGAATTCTCCGTGTGTAAAGGATAGCAGTGACCTTTCACCCCCCCCCCCCTTAAGGGTGTCGGTGCCGGTCATTTATTAAGGAGTAAAATTTATGCAATTCAATTCACTTGTCGTGTCGACCTCGTGTGGAACGTGCAAGTGTGTGAGTATGTAAATCGATATTAGTGAGCTATAATATTACGCGAGATAAAGATATCTAAGCACACTCATGCACAAGACAGTGATTGACATTTGACTTTGATGACTATTGCACTATTTTGATGAACGGAAATGCTTTTACAGGAAAAAGTCTCACGCCTCGTTTGTATGTTCGGTAATTTTTTTTTTTTTTATCTGAAAGGTGAAAAGTTTTTTTCACGTCGGATCAAAGCTCGAATTTTTATTTTACTTGAATTGGTAGTAGAAAAATACTTTTGAAAAAGAACAAATATCATGAATTATTCAAACGCGTATTCCAGCTTCTATATAATTATAATTTTAAAAATCGAACTCTGATCGGACTTACAAAATGTTCTCTAATTTTAAATTTAAAAAAAAAATAACGAAATCCGACTATTATTCTGCAGGGCGTGAGAGTTTTTCCTCTAAGACATGTTCTTGTACCAAAAGAAGCACCGGCTCGACCCCCTTAAGGGGGGGAAGGTCACTGCTATCCTTTACATACGGAGAATTCCAATAAAAACGTAAAAAGAAAACCGTTTTGATGAACATAATGTCATCAGATTGTCTTCAAATAAACTTTTTTGAAACTGTCACACACTGAAGGCAGCGAGGGTTTTTTTCGGAAAGTCCACAGAAGCGTTTACTAAGCGCTAAACAGTGCTTGAATTGGAAAACAAATAGAAGGGGGATGCAAAAGTATAAGAGATATGTGCGTCCCCGAACATTTAAATGTCTTACTGTTAAGTGGTAGCATATGTCCCCCCCCCCGCTACAATGACATTTTACATCATACAGCAATAAATAAATATTCCTTTTTATTTAAAAATTAAAAATAAAATATTGTAAAATACATTATAATAATTGTTATTTGTTTTATAAATTTAAATATGCCCATAAATGTTTATATGAATGATCTATTAAAAAAAAAATAAAAATATTTCCATTAATTTAGTACAATTTTTAAAATGATTCCCGTCCCCATTAAAAGAAATTAGAAGGGGTACGCTAAAATATTTTTAAAATAGAAGTGGGACTCCGTCCCCCCGCGCCCCCCCCCAATTCAACCACTGGCGCTAAAGGTACTTTATAGTATAGGAATAACCCACTCATCACTAGGTAAACACAGTCACAATAATATAAAAAGTCTAAACTCTCTGAACGTTTTTATGTTTTTTATAATATGTCATACGCGTACATCCTTTGATAGGTGTAACTATGTCCCATTGTCCCCATATGAAAATTATTTTCGAACGGTATCTACCTACCTACGTATTATTAGTACAAGGGCTAGAGTATTATTCGAGTACGGCCGAGTATATTAAATTACAAAACTATCACATCCCATTTGCCCGAATTTCCAAGTGTACCTACGTACGACGTATATCATAGTGATACACGATATAGACATATAGGTAAGTAGGTAGGTACCTACTGTTATAATATAATAATATTCACAGAAACTTTTTGATCTAACCTAACCCATCGTAATGCTGAAATATGCGACATGCTGTATATGAATCTATAATATATAGGTAGGCAGACTTGGGTAAAATACTTTTTAAAAGTATTTCAAATACATTTTCCGAATACTTTATGATAATAATATTCCTAAGTATTTGGAATACTTTTTGTGAAGTATTCCAAATATTTTTCGAATACTTTTTTTTAGTAGATTTAGATTTCAATAGCAAAAATATTATTTTTTTTAATTCTAAAAATATAATAATCTCGATAATACACACCTATCTGGCTATCTATTAGTTATAAATTATATTCAAATTAATATAGTAAATAAGTAATAATTAGTAATATATTAGAGTATACCTATATAAAAAAAATAAGTATTCCGAATACTGTACTCCGAATACTCTTAAAAAGTATTCAAAATACCGTATTGAATACTTTCAAAAAAAGTATTTAAAAAGTATTCGGAATACTACCCAAGTCTGTAGGTAGGTACATCGGCTTGGGGACCATTTTCCTTTATACTACATAGTTTTCTATTACTTACCTATATGGTTATAATGTATATTACCTTCGTCTTTAGTCTTGGTGCGGTAGGCAGTGTAAAGTGCCGAAAACTTGGATTTCACTCCCTTTCCCTCTGCCAAGAATCGCACGTGCAACGTGTTGCCCGGCGATTGGACCATTTCGGCTATGGATCCACAAAACACCTTGAGCCTCGAAGCCATGTCTGTGCGGTTCGAGAAAATCTCCACTACGTTCAATCCGCAATCGTTGGGTTTTTCTAAAGAAAATTCTTTGAAGTTAAGCTGAATCTAAAATAAATATACAATGGTTTCCAGTGAATAATTATGTCGATCACGCGTCATCTAGCCGATCCTAAACATATAATATTATATAGCTAAGTAGCTGCTGGTTAGCGGTGGTTATTATATTATACAGTTAGGTAATATATTTGTAGGCGCGACAAGATAATTTTCTGGACCAAACAACGGTTAACGGCCGATTTAAGGATAAAAGTCAAAGTTTAAAAATCCAATTAAGGTGGTTCTAGTCGGTCGAAGAATATATGGTTTTCAGACCTTCCGCTGTGACGAAAACGTGGGACTGGCTATTGTCCAATCTCGAGTTCAGTTAAAAAGCCTTAAGATTCTTTGAATTTTTTTCTAAAACTAGTTCAAAGAGTTTATTAAAATATGAATTTCCGACTTTGGTAAGCTATATACGATTAAACGAAATTTCTATATTTCCCTACTGCAGGCTGTAGGTATATAATAGCTAAGGCGGACGTTTATACTTAGAAAAACATTCCAGTTTGAGTTCAGAAGAGACATCATTATGTCGAGTAAACTTGAGATACCTATCTATAAAGTTAAAGCGAGACCAGTCAAAGTCTCAAATTATATCATTTCGTCACAACAGAAGGATTTTTCTATTCAAAAAGTTTGAGCGATTCCCCCAAACCATCAGCTATAAACCCACCCAATATTCGTGCCTATATGTGGCTAAATACAGAGCTAACTGCTAAGGGTTAGTAGAGACGCTTGTCTCAAATATAAAATGATTACCTTCCAACCAGGTAATACTTGTATTATCCACATGCAGTCCAACGGCACTTGGTTCACGAGGGTTTTATTCTTTAAATCGTCAACCTCCGTGCTATTTATGTACCCCTGTGAACCTTCGACAAATTTACGACACGGCGGAAGCTCCGATTTCTCTATGTCTGAAAAACATGATCAACACAACAATTATAGGCACAAAACATATTTCGATTTTATGCCATTAATTATCAACACAGAAATTAGAAATCGTGGTATTTTTTTTTTCAACATTTATAACATTTGTTTGGTATATAGAGTCTAGTCAAATAACGAACAAACAATCTTTCTGGTTAATATTAGACGCGTAATTATACGACTATACTATTACCAACTATAGGTTTGACAAATTTGTCGATGGCGCATAAAGATTCGAAAACAATTTTTTAAAGACCCTGTGAAAAATATCGTGCCCCAAGCCCCAAAAAAGATTTTCATATAGAAGGTACGTCCTATACTGGGTGATTCTTTTATCAAACAACACTCATTATTTCAAAAAGTGTAAATTTTTTTGAAAATATTTTTTACATAGTTTCAAGTCGCTTATAAAACAACGTTTTTATTAAAAAATTATATTTTTAAATATTTTTTATCCTTATAATTTTTTAAGTTTTTTACTTTTTTGAATAACAACATAGGGTTTTAATTTTATATTCCAAAGCAGAATATTTTTCTTAGTATTTTGATACATGAAAAACGAATTTGGGTTGAGTAGTTTATGAGTTATAAATATTCAAAGTTTGATGATCGGTGAAGTGGACAAACATTTCGCGGGGTAACCCCGAACCACTCCACTCCGCTCGTCTAAACTTTAAATACTTATAACTCGTAAACTACTCGCCTCAAATTCGATTTTAATGTATCAAAATACTAAGAAAAATATTCTGCTTTGGAATATAAAATTAAAACCCTATGTTGTTATTCAAAAAAGTAAAAAACTTAAAAAATTATAAGGATAAAAAATATTTAAAAATATAATTTTTTAATAAAAACGTTGTTTTATAAGCGACTTGAAACTATGTAAAAAAATATTTTCAAAAAAATTTACACTTTTTGAAATAATGAGTGTTGTTTGATAAAAGAATCACCCAGTACTATATCGTATTACACAATATTATAATATGGTCGACTACCTGAGAAAACGACAAAAATTGAAAAAGTGAGTCAAATATTGATGTCGTACAACATGTACCAGTGGCGTAGACAAGGGAGGACGTGGGGGCCAGATCCCCACATTGGCTTTTTATTACCTTAGTAAAAAGTTTTGAGAGGGTTGTGGATTTTCAAATTTTCCCTTCCCATTTAGCTTTGTCGTTTTGTGTTTTTGATGCCCCCCCTTGCAGAAATCGTATCTACGTCACTGCTGTAGGTATTACACAAAGTGAGTATTTCCTAGTCTTAAGACATTGTTTTATTAACAGTTTTCTATCACGTATGCTGATACCACTTTGCAGTGGAGTATGAATTATTATTGTTCACCTGGTGGAGGTTTCTTAATGAATTTGTAAACGGCGTGAAATCCTTCATATTCAATATTTTCGTCCGACCGAAATCTCAACCACAAGTATTTGCCCGATGAAATTATTCTAGAAAAGAAGGATAAATACCGAATAATATATTACAATGTATATTTATGCGTGCAAAACATTACACAATTCCAATGAGGCTATATAATATCCGTATTGTAACTTGTGCGCAAAACAAGATATTTAAATTTAGAAAATTAAAAATACTCACTTCGGTGGGAACTGATTTCCGCAGTAGTAATACGCTGGAACTGAATATCCGTATGGCCCATCTCGAATCTCCAGGTGGTCGTGTTTACACCCAATACTTGGTTCAATGGTAAACGAGTCCCTGAAGTCTAGTTCAATAATCTCTCCAGGGCCAGCTAGAGAAAACGACCTCCGTTATTATTTTGTTGCGTTCAAAATAATAATTTTAAATAAAATTCCTGATCACCCACCTTCCAACAGTCTGATACATTCTGTGTTATTGGGATAAGGTTGAGGATAACTCGGAGAGTAGAACTCGAAATCATATTCAAACTGTTGACACGGTGAACTACCCATCAAAGTTTCGGACGCCATGTCTTGAACCGGTATATCATAATTAATAGTAGTTGTTAATGAAACATTACCATCGATTGGATCCGAATCTACAATTTTGGTTTTGATAGGAAAAAAAAAATTAGCAAATTATAATATTGCATCCAAATAGCAGCATCAAGTATTTTATATAATATAATATATTTACCTAATCCAAAAACTTTTTTTGAAATTATTAATAACACCGCAATACCTAAAAAAGAAAAAAAAAGCATTGTAATTTAAAATCTAGCTTTTAACAATTTTCATGTACAGTGTAATTTTATAAATCAATGCTTATTCTTTTTTTTTAAATATAAACAAATTGTCCTTACATAACAATAACTGAGGGGCATAAAGAGGAGTCGTTTACAAATATGAAAAAAAAAATCGTAAAAACACCTATTGTTGCTGACAGAAAATGATTCAGTGCAAGCAGGAATGGAGAGATTAAATATGTCTTATTTAAACCTATGTCAATCGTCGATAACACATAGGGATTATAGTGAGTGTCTACAGTGAGACAAGTATAAAATAGATTTGGTAAAGTCTGATACCTACCCGTACATATACTACACATTATTTATGTATATAATCGCAGTCCATAAACAGTGCCGGATTAAGACCTAACCTAACCCTAGGCAAACTTTTTTTTCTATAGCCCATTGTAAAAAAAAACAAAAAACAAAATTATAAAAATGTTTAGATTTATTTATTTTACAGCTTTTTTCTTGCTTTTTGGAGCAGAAGTCATTTATTAAATCATTTAAATCAATAGAATTTAATAATAATAACAATAATGACCATGGTACCTCTGGTACCTACCTTCAGCTATGATAATTATCATGAACAGTATCAATTGACAATTATCAAAGCAGCCGCATTTCCTGTACTGCTGCGGCGAATTGCACTTGTCCGAAAAATGATAAGACGTAATTAAAAACCATAATATTAAGATTTAAGTAATTCTTCGCCTCAGACTGGCACGAACTTCCACAGTCACAGTGCCGCTATTAAAAAAAAAAATAGACCCCTCTGATGGCAACTTTTATCTAGCCCTAAGCACGTGCCTACCCTGCCTATACGTTAATCCGGCACTGTCCATAAAGGAATGGAGAGTTATTATACTTTTGTTGTCAATTAAACACGTCAAGTGAAACATATAGTTTGTATAAGAAAAAAAAAGAAATTCAATAATAAGTCAAAGATAGGAACTATATAAAAAAAAAAATGTACAAAGTAAAATATATTTGTGTGATTTACGAAGGAAAAAAATGGAGAAAATCCATTATAATCCGCATAATTATTCATTTGTTTTTCAGTTTTTGCAATGTTTTAATTTCTTATGGGCTGAAATGACAAGTCGCCTCCCAAACTTCATTCAGAATTTAACCAAGCATATTATAATCCATAGATAAAAAAGACAGCAATTACAAGTTTGTTGTTCCAAAAGAATCCGAATGTATTTTGATGGCGTTTTTTTTCTCTGTGTTACAATAGGTAATTAGTCTCGACTCGAAATTTAAGTGATAATAACTCACACAATAATTCGGAAAATATAAACTTACAAAAGTCCAACGGTGAACTTTGTGCTGTTGAAAAATTATAAAATAGGGAATATATATTATTGTTCTTTTTTGTCAAGAGGAAAAAATATTTTTAATATTGAAGGGGATGTTTGAATGGGACAATATAACTGCATTTTAAAACTAAATATAAATAGGTGAATAAATAATTATGAAATAAAAATATAATAACCCAGAACCTTATACCAAAAACAACTGGTTACTGTTACAGTACAGCAATACTGATTAGGTATATGTTTCTTATTGTTTATGTTTATGTAAAAATTGAAATCCTATCAAACATATCGTGTTTAAAAAAATTGCAAGTGCGCCAAATCCTTCTATATTATGCATTTCCACGACTAAATCTCTTGATAAATAATATACATGTAATACATGGTTATAGGTTACCGGATATAAAATTCTAAAAAAACATATTAAATTTTACCTGCTCTTTCATAAAAAATATGTTATTTAATAATGTATAATGTACGATTGTAGTACTTGTTCATTAATTTTTTAGTGGAAAACATGCGGTTGACGATTGTGGTACTACATAATAGTGCTATATATATACTAATAATATTAATATGTAAAAATACTTTGGGTCGAACCATAAAATATAAATGAACACTTAAATACCTATCTATATGACTATATTATTATTCATTAGGAAATATTTTAACATTTATAGCTATTTTTCTTTTTACTCTTCAGTTATACATTTCTCGATTTATATTCATAGTACTCGAAGATACATTTTACATGCCTTATTAATAGGGTTGTACACTTGTACTATACAAGCCTTTGAACTATACACGAATCGCCTCTGATGCAATGTAACTATTAATACACATGTATGTCAGCGTACTCAAAAGCAGATAGGATAATATTTAAAAATTTATGAAAATATTAAAAATTGTATTTCAGCAAATTATTTCAATATATTATTTGAATTCTTAAACATTATATCGGTGTCCCGGAAGGGGGTCCAGACCCCATGGAACCACCCCTCTGTAAATCCTGGTTGTATTCATCACTATACCTTCTTCTTCTTCTTCTAATGGCATTTCTACTCTCTAAGAGTTTTTGCCGCCATTACTACACTTCGCCACCTGTCTCTATCTTGAACTGTCTCCCTCCAATTCTCAACTCCAAGGATTTTTAAATCTTCTTCTACCACGTCTATCCATCTTTTTCTCGGTCTACCTCTTGGTCTTTTATCACTATACCTACCTAATTTAAATAATTAAAACTATAATCAAAATATTAGGTGGAAATAGACGTTCAATATATTATGTATTATAATATATGGTAGTATATACTATATGGGTATGTGTTTTAAAATGTTCACAATGATATTAAGTACTACAAATAAAAATATAAACAATATAGAGAAGTGTTTTGATATACAATATGCCTTTTGAGTATTTTCTTATAGAAATCCTTAATCGTCTCTGAATAAGTTCAAACAAATAATTTAGTGTACAGTTAAATCAATATTGATAGATGACAGCAATGATGTAGCATATATCTATCGTCAATTAACTCACTAACAATATTTTTTTTTTATGAGATAAAAGGTATTATAGAGGGTAGTACATAATAAAAATGTTTAAATTATATAATCTATATTAGACGTATTAAAATTTAAAAATGAATTTCATGAGGACTTGCAGACTACCTGAGTAGTAGCTAATATAATTAATAAGCTCTAAGACCGATGAGATAATAATATTGATCAAAATCAGGAATAACTTCCCCAACAATTCGTCAACGTCCAACACCGCAGCGCTCCAAGATGATTCAACTGACAAAAAAAATTGACAAACCGAAAAAAAGCATTCGACAAGAAAATATATCATGAAAAACTTTTGCACAAACTACTCAACTACTCGAGATCAACTCCATCGATATAGGTAGACAGTTCGATCCAGTCTTTCCTCTTGGACAAATTTTACTCGATCCGAAACGGTGTAACTTACAGGTCACCTACCTGTTACCCGTTGCCCGCTGACCGCACATAATTAGAGTAGGTATCGAATCAAAGTGATTTGTAAATTAATACAGTAGCATTCACCAGACGAATAGCATAAAGCATTGCATAGTAAATACGCACAGTCATAATGTTTAATTACTTTTTACCAAATTAAATGGATGGTATTCCTTTACTGTTAATCCACCTAAAAGCTATTGGGATATTATTTTATTGTTTTTCGTATTATAACAATGACCAAATGATTTATAATCTGCCCCGACCAAATTTATGATCTAATACCTCCCTAATGTATTGAGGGGGAAAACTTTCATCATCAAAATAATATATACGTTAGACAAAATAATATAATAGTTATATTACCTATATTAGAAAGTTGCTGAAACATGACAACACGCAATAAAAGGGCGTTGTTTTTTATTCTCCCCTATTCTCCTCCATTTTTCGTTTTGTGTTTTAACAAAATGGTATAAAATATATAATGTTTTCATATAAAATACAAACTAATTTGCTAATGTAACACGATCGGATGTAACATAATTGTTATAGATGTGTAAATATTAATAAAATATGTAAAGTACAATATTATGTTGGTATGCATTATAGGTACCTATTTGTACAGTATGTTATACCTATTGTCATTGTACATTATAATGACGCGGCCGGCATTAGTAGCAAGTACAATGTACAAGCACTATGGCGACCAGTCTATCTTATATCCAACCACCGCTACAAATGCGACCGGGTTGACTCTTCCACCGAGCCGGTAAAGGCAAAGCGGGACGGGGGGGGGGGGACTGTGTCGCGTAAGACTTACAAAGGTCGGCGAAAAAGGCGATTTGAGTATCCACCATCGTCGGACAGTCGGACCTATAGCATATTATCGTCCGACGTTAAACTCATCGCCCGATGATGTATATTTATATATTTTGGTCGTAATATAATACATTATCAAAGCGACATCTATGTGAAGTGTTTGTGTTGTGTTTTTTTCATCACCTCAGTCTAAACCAGACACTTCGACCGGACCACGATCAACCACTATTCAATCATCGGGCCCGCGTCAATAATATACAGTGAAACCTCTTTATAACGAATCTGAAGGGACCAAGAGATTTCTTTCGTTATAGAGAGTTTTCGTAATAGAGAGGGTTTAAAAAAAAACAAAAATTTAATTATTAAGTATTTTAACTATAAAGGTATTGTATGTACCTGTGTAATATTATATATCAAACACATTATTATTTTTACATTATATTATACATATTTACGTATTATATTGAATTACATATTATTATTATTATACTACTGTGGTCATGCGTATAATGTTAGACATAACGTCGATAATAAAATGAACATAGGTACCTATTCAATTTAGACAATAACGATATTATTATATTAAAAGTAGATAATGAAAGAATGTAATCGTTCTTGGAGATTTCGGCATTATTGCCGATTATTTTTTTAGTTTATATATGTAATAGATACTATAACACGTAAATTGTATTATGAAACATAAAATATTGTTTCGTTATTGAGAGTGACTACTACGTTATAGAGAATGAATTGACTAATGGGTTGTATAGCAAACCAACCATTATTATGTAACGTTTACGTTATATAGAGTTTTTCGTTGTAAAGAGTTTCGTTATA